CACAACTTTACAGTGTAATAATGCCAACTGCATTTTGTTTCATGTAAGAATCAAAACTATAGGACCTGAATTGCATTGGAAAACACTTTTAATTCATTCAATTCAAACAGATACAGATTACAAAACAATGGAAAAGGCAACATTTATTTGTGTGGACTACCTTCCCCCCCAAAAAATATATATACATTTTTTTAATATTTAATAGATGAGAAAATGTAATGATCTTCTTGAAGAAATACCAACAATAATCAGTTATTCACTTCAGGTGCCTCGGGCAGTACTGAAATTCGATAAGTGTAAATAATATCAAGAACTAGTATTTTGTTTATCTCATAAACCAAAAGGGCACTGGATAAGTAACATATCAAACCAATATCTCATTATGGGAACATTAATCAATGTAATATAAACAGCAAATTATCGTATAAAGATGTCTTCGATTATCTATATCCCCATTTCTTCCAAGTCTGTATCAATTTAACAGTTTTCAGAGAAATAATCTTGCAAAAAGTATCGTCTTTTTAAGAGCCACTTTGAAAATAGGAGGAAGAAGGGCTAGCAGGTGGCACAGTGGTTAAGGCAATAAACTCCCATGTGGCCAACCACAGTTCAAGTCCCAGATCCTGATGATTGAAATTCACACCAGACACATGTATGTGTGTACCCAAAATCTTGAAAGGATAATGGAGCAGAAGGGACTGTGGCAGGGTCACTGTCCCCTGCTGGGGGGTGATTTCTCATTTTCTATCTCTCTGTTCCCCTCTGTCTCTCCAGCGAGTTCACATGCCCCATAGCAAAAATCTCTAAATTAAATAAATAAATTAATAAGTAAAGAAATAGCAGGGAGATGTGACAATTTTAGCACCTTTCTAAAATTTTGATGTCATCATGGAAATCCAAATGATGCGTATTTGAACATATTTATAAGCTCAATTCTCCAGAAATGTATCCATTGCAAATATCTAACCTTCTACTGTTTTTTTTTTCACCCAATTTCACAATTTTATGTGGATGAAAGTGTAAGCTGTCCAAGAGTACTCTCATTTTATTCTCAGGGCTTCAAACTCATTCCCAAGTGGCTTTTCAACAATGACCAGACTTTAGAGGATGTCAGCCTCCCAACTTTAGTGCCAGTTACCTGGGAAATTCTAGGTTCTGCAATCGACAGACAGAATTTCCTCTCAACTTTAACTGTACTGATTTTTTGAGCATATTTTATTTTAAATAAAAGATAGCCATGCTCATAGGCAAAGTATTAGCCTTAGTCTTTCCATAGCATTTGGTTTTTTATCAGTAATGCCTAGATGTCTTATTTCATTCATGCTGGTACATGTCACAGTATTTTGAATTCAAACATTGATCTTAAGCTATTACAACTTTTTTTTTTTTGATAAAGGAAAGCTGCTGATCTTAACTAGAATTTAAAATTTATTTTACTACTCAATGGGAGATGAGTGTTTCTATAGTTTCGGATACTGCTGGTTACAATTTGAAGTAATTGCTAAGAAATTATGTGCTTAACAGATACAACCACATTGTAAAGTTTGGCACAGATATAAATTAATACATGATTTTTTAAGTAGGACAAATTAAGAACCAAGTTAGAATTAAAACAATACTGGCATGTAAGTATCTAGTAAATCAGCCAACAAATACACACATGTAGATCTTGGCGGACATGACAGGACTTCACTAACTAGAAACGTAATCTCCTCCACACTACAGCGCTAAGTGTGTCTGAGGCAGGGGACAAATCTTTCCTCTTGTATTTTTACATAATTTCTTCTTCTCCCTATTATTATTATTTTAGTCTTCACTGAGAAAACTAGTGGATTTAGTAAGGAGAAAGCCAGCATCGGGGTCAAGTTTACCCAAAATGACAAATTGCTTAAAGACACCAAGTGATTATTATCCGCCCTCTGCACTCCCCACTGGTCTAGGAAACAGCTCTTTCTGCCCCACTGGTAGGGCTGTGCTACTACTGCCAGTTTGTAGTGTCAGTATTTTTAGCACGGTCCTTTGCTTTCATGGAGACCTGACATAATGCTGATGTGAACATGGTGGTAGTTAAACAATGAATGATGGTTTGCGTGTATATATTTTAATAAGCTCCAAAAAAGCATGGGCATAGCTGTTTTAAGATCCTGGGAAGGGTAGGATCAATTTTTAGCCAAAATACATGTATTTATTTATTTAGTTTTTCAAAAGACAAATTTCTACACAAGCCAAAGTAGAGCTTCCCTCTGAGCAAATAAATTTCAGATCCACCCAGGAATAGTTTCTATTCACTGGGCACCCACCCCATGCCAGTCTCTGCTAATCATTTTAAATATGGCATTTCTTTTATTCCTCACCCCACGAGAGAGAGATAAGGTAGGAAACATTAGTGTTTAAGAGCATATGCTTTGGAATCAATTAAACATGAATTAGCATGCTAGCCTCACTACTTGCTCACTAATAACTTCAGGCAGTATATAAACTCTGAATCTCAGCATCCTCATCTGTAAATTAGGGATAAACGAGACAACGCACAGAAAGTCATTGAGCAGCGTATGCAGGGCTTATTAAATGCTTGAAATTGGTTTGCTCTCATCAATGTCCTCAGCATATAAATGAGGAAAGAGAGGCTTCAAAAAGTGGCAAAGTGCAGACGTAATTGGCAAGTGGCGAAACTAGGATTTGAACTAGTACTTGTGTGACTCTACAGTGTATCTGCTCAACCACTACACTGGGCCACTCCCTAACACAAATGATTGACACAAATGATTGTCTTATCCACCAGCATCATTACTACAGGAATCCTTTCTTTAAGAAAAAAAAAAAAAAAGGAGCGATCTTTCCTTTGAGGGACTGCACTTGCATCTACTTTTAAAAACACTCATCTTTTGATGCATTAGGAGTCGAGATTTGTACTATCCTGTAGACTAATAAAGGATCTTACGTGCCTAAGAGAGGTCCAGGTCCTTGCCTCTAGTGCCCTGCTCCTAACATGCTTTTTACTGGTGTCCTTGGAGTGGATTGCTAAGGGTCCCAGAAAGGAATCCAAACACACTGCTTTTGATTCCTGTAGTGACCACTTTGGTCTCAAGCACCCTTGTGTCAGCTTTTACTCACTGAGTGGAGAATTCCAACTATTTCTAGCTGTAACTTCACACCCCTTGATCTCCTGTGACCAAACAGGAACCATGTCAGGCCCTCAACAACAATACATGCCTTTAATTTCCCAAACTTTGTTTTTGAAATGTCCATTTACAATTCTCCTGAGTTTCTATTCTGTATCTCCTCCATCCTTCTTATCCTTATCTGCAGAACACCCATAACAAAACAAAAGGAAAGCCAATCCTGACAAATTGTGGTTTTCCTCCAGGAGACACATACTTTTTTCCCCGCCTTCCTTAACTCAGGGACGGGGATGAGAAATAATCTCCCTGATTCATACTGGAAGGAGGGAAATTTCCTTTGGTAACTCAGATTTAAACAGGTCTGCACATGTTTGCTTTTGTTTGGAGATCAGTATTTAATTTAGAAATGCCTTGAGAGCTGAGATTTCTAATATCTTTTAGGCTAATAAAGTAAGGATCTCATATGGCTTAAGAAAGGCCCAGTTACCATATCTCTTTTCAGTTCATCTGGTGCATGAAAAGCTATTGCATTTGCATTAAAAGCTGAAAAGTTCCTCAGCTGCAGAAGCCTGCAAGGTACAGGAGGACATCTGCTGCCTGAACCTTTACAACACTGCAGTGCCATTTGGGGAGGACAAAAAGGCAGTCAGATGAGTCCTTCCTTTATGGGGGTAGGAAGGCTTAGTTAGGCTCTAACTTGGCAGAGCACATTCTTTCAGAAAAAGAAGGCGCCCTCGTTTAAATCCCAATTTCTAAATCTCTCTTGGGAGATGAAGGCTCTCCCTGTCTGCCTTTCACAATCAAACTGTTGGTTATAGCCTCTCCCCTCCATGGCTTTGAAATCCTCTCCTATTCACATGGTCACAAGGAGACAGCCCTGGGGCGGAGGGCGATAGCTTCCTGGGCTCTGTGCTGGCTGGGTTCCACTGAGCGGAAGGGCTTCCAGCATTAGGCAGGGCTGCCCTTGGATTCACCAATGCCCACCACTTGGCGGAACAACAGCCCCACGCAATCTCCCTGTCCCCAAATAGCCTCTTGCTACATTAATTGCATCATTGATGTATTTTTAAAAAAAAATTAAGTGGCTTTTTTTTTTTTTTAATTCTAAGGCAACTGTTTGAAGGAGAAAACATTCAAGACTGGCTTTTGTGACTATGACTGATAACACTTTTATTTTACTTTACAGTGTGGTCTCTGAGCAATGAGAGGCATATCTGGTGTGTTTGTAAAGAGTTAGGCTCTGAATTTATAGTGCACCATGTGCTAGAAAAGAACTCCACAAGATTGCTTTGCTCAAAAGTGTTAAAAGAACAAGGCTAATTCAACTCTAATGAAATCAATCTCCCACTTGGTGAGTCCCTAAACATTGGTAGGCTTTGGACAAACTTAGTTTAACCAGTTGTGAGTTTCACGTGATTAAAGAAAAAACAAAAGCCAAAAAAGCACCTCATATGATCACACATTCCTACCAAGAGTTAATAAACAGTCACTGAATTAATTTGCCCTGTCCAGCTAACAGCTGTAGCCAGACCCCACAGTTCCTAAGGCAGAAACAAATGAATTAGACTAGGGTGCGTGCACCTGTGCACCTTCCCAACCTGGGCAGAGTGCATCCAGTTACTCTCTGAAAAATGACCTCTGCCTGCTAACCCGACGGCCTCTACCTTGGATTTAGGCTGCTGTGACCTAGGGAATTCCTACACTTTGCACAAGTTTTACACTTGCCTGCTGCCGGCAGAAAAGTGACAATGCCTTCCTTGTATGTATAATCCTTGCCAGGAAGAACAGATGTAGAAATGGCTGTAGGAGCCAGGAGGACTGAGATCAGGAAGGTTGGGGAGTCCCAGCCCACGTGTCCCAGGTATAGGAGGCACTGACCTGGAAGATGAGCACTTTGAAATGATTTCTTCTGAGCAGCTGGGCGTGGTTGTTCTCCAGCCGTTTCACCTGTGCACACTGCCTCTCCATGCGCTCCTTGACCGCGCGCGTGTGGGCGCTGACCTTGCGGGATTTCTCCAGCAGCTTACTCACAGTGTTACTGGTGGAGGCCTGATACTTGGATAGCTTGGTGAGGTCGTTCTGGATGCCCTTCACCGAGCCCTCCAGGCTGATCTGCCTTTGCTCCATCTTGTGCTGGTTCTCCTGCACAGCGTCCAGCATGCTCACCAGCTTGTCAAGGAGTGTGCGCACGGTGACGGCATTCACCTGCGAGTTGTCCCGGATGGCCTCCTCTGTGCTTCCGAGGTTCAAGCTGGGGCTCGGTGTGGAGGAGGGAATTGGGCTGGGGCTCGATGCCTTTTCCTGCCTCATGTCAGAATCCGAGTGCTGGAACTTTTCCGCTTGTGCTGCGTCCTCTCCCATGGCTGGGCAGGTGGGAACGTTCTTCCCTGCTGGAAGCTTCTTGCTTAGGTGAGAAGGCAGTGAAAAGGGGTGCGAAATGGGGCCTCTTGTTTTGAGGTCAGAGCACCGCTTTCCAGCTCTGGCAGGGGTTCAGTCAGGCAACAACTGGCTAAGCTGATCAGGGGAACTGCATTCCAGCTGCTCTTAAAGGCCCTACTCCACCCAGTGGGAGGTGAAGGGTACAGAACAGAACCCACTCAGAGTTCAGAAGCAAGCACACTTCCTAACAGCATTCTCGGCACAGAACACTTTGCTGCAGGTTTAGCTTTTCTTTCCTGCTCCCCTTCCCTTTTTAAAATAAGTTCAATGCCATATTTCAATCGTGACTTCATTTAGAGGCGGAGAAAACATGCTAACTTGGCCCAGCTCCACTGCTTCCAATTGGCTAGCGCTAGTAAACTTTTCTCTGGCTGCTATGCTACAAATGCAACAGAGTGCCTGTTTTTTTTCCTGGATACATGTTATTGTAACGGAAACTATTGTTTGCATTTGCCCTGGAACTGCCTGATGGGTTGCAGAACACCGGGTGTCCTACTGGGAGGAGTAGAGTTTAGAGTACTGTGCAGCTAAGTTTGTTTCTCATTTGCAAAGGAATGGTAGTAACCCTGCTAACCCCAGACACACAGCCCAGCACTTCTTATTACTCTTGCAATTGGGGATGCAAATTAAAGTTGAAGGAGATTAAACTTCAGGGTTATTAAAACAAGATGGCATTACAAACTGGTATCCTGTAATAGATGGAAGCCTTTTAAATGACCACCCTCCTCCCCCGTTCCCCCTTAATATAAAGTTTCTTTTGAGAAGACTGAAAAGGAAACAATGTGGCATGTGCATTTGCCAGAGAGAGACAGAGAGAGGCAAAATGAGACATTGCTCCCCCCCAGGGGTGGGGGGGAACGGCCACACCACAATCCCTTCTCCTCCATTCTCCTCTTGGGATTTGGGGCACACATGCACACACACACCTGGCATGATTTTCAAGCCCCGGGTCTAGAACTTGAATGGTAGTTGGCCATGTGGTATTCCAACGCCTTAACCTCCATGCCACCTACTTACTCCTAAAGGGTGTATGTTTGTTAAAAGAACCCATCAGGGGGGACCAGCAGTTAGCGTAATGGCTATGTCGCTGGACTCCCACGTAATTGACCGAGGTTCGAGTTCTGGACCCAGTGGCTTAAAACTCACGCTGGGTGCATGTGCGTGTATGCCCAAGATCCTGAGAGGAGAATGGAGAAGGGATTGCAGAGGGGCCATCACCCCTGGGGGGTGATTTCTCCCTTTCTGTCTCTCTCTGTCTGGCGAGCGCACACGCCCTATAGCAAAAACCTCTAAAAAAAAAAAAAAAAACCATCAGGCTAATTTGTTTTAACTAATTCTTAAATTTATGTTGAGAGATTCTTCTCAAATGTCCGTATGTGCAAGGCATTTGTTGACAAGTATCCAGAAGTGTGATTGTTGGGCAGGTTGAGTTGGAGTTTCTGAAGTGGTACTAATGTTTGACATTTCCAAATTCCTGCTCAGTGAAGTGGCACACCTGTTCTCAAATGTGGCCCTCCTCAGCAGAGCCCTTGGGACGTGGGCCTTATTTCCTAAAATGACTTTACATGCTTGAATTGCTTTTAAATGTATCCAGCCTTTGAAAGTGCTTTCAGCATGAAGTTTGTAATAGGACTTCTATGAACAGTTTTGAGAAGAACAAATGCTAGCTCATATTGGGTCAGGGACTGGTAATGAAATCGTGCTATTCTTCAATAACAACATCTACATTTATGACAATCAGTGGGCCATTCGTTGTCACATTTATTGAATCCCTATCCTCTGCTATATGCATGATACATTATCTGGAGGATATTGGAAAAGCACGGTAAGGCCTGACTTTCAATGAGTAAATTCTTTGTTAGGAAGATGAAGTAAAGGTATTTACACAGGCCACCAATTTCTTCAGATGATAGGAATTCACTTAGAACAAACAAACAAACAAAAAGGACTTGCTTGGTATTTTATCTTTTAGGAAGAACTAGAAAATTATTTAAATTCATTTGCCTTACATTGAACAGCATCTAGGTGATCCGTGTTGTGTTAAATATTAGAACAAAGGGTGTTTCAAATGTTGATTTTGGGAAACAAAATTTTCTAACAAAATTATACAGTTTTATTATACAGTGCCCTTTTACATTTGACTTCTTTGGGCAAATCATGAAGAGTGTCATCATTGCAAAAATATTTGAGGGCTTCATCAATTTTCCAAGAGCCTCTCTTCAATTTTGACATTCTAATCATTCCCATTTGAAGCTCTTATTGTGCCATCATCCAATTGGATTTTTTCTTCTTAAAATGTTAACTGTTGCAGCTGCAGATTCTCATTTGCCAGAGGAGCTGCCCATGATTCAAGGGCTTCTCTAACATTACCTTCATCAACTTCATGATTTCCTACATCTTTCGCAAGATTTGTCATTTCACATGATAATCGCTTTGCCCTGATTTTGCATGGATGTGCGCTGATTTTGCATTGCATTGTTGGATGTTTTATAATCAGCTAGATGAATAGAGACACTAAAGAGATAGGGTGTGAGGGGGGAAAAGGAGAGTGGCTAGTTGTTAAACAAGAAGGGTTTGCACATGAGCTTATTTACTTTTTAAAATGGTTTTGAAAAACACAAGCAATATATCAGTCATCTATTGCTGTATAACAAATAGGCCTGAAACTCAGTGGTTTAAAATAATAATTATACTTGTGATGCTGTGGTTGGCTTGGCAGGACTCAGTTAGATTAGGTCATCAATGTGAGGCATCCTCATTCAGCTACAGAATTTGAGACAGCCTCGTTCACCTGTCTGGCTCCTCAACTGGATCAGCTACAATGATTTTCCCCAGTTTTCCAGGGATACTCTATGAGATCTCTGTGATAAGCAAGCTTCTTTACATGATGTATCTGGGTTCTAAGGAAATACAAGTGAAAGATGGCCTACCGAGTCCTAGTTCTACCTAAGAGAAATTGGCAAAATTCAGTAATCGAGTCTTAAAATACAATTTCTAAAAGGGGCTAACAAGTGGCGTGATGGTTAAGGTGCTGGATTCACATGTGATTGACTGTAGTTTGAGACCCAGATGTGGTAGCTGGAAAATCATTCTGGGTGCATGGTGCATGTGTGTGTGCCCCAAATCCCAGGAGGAGCATAGGAGAAGGGATTGTGGCATGGCCATCCCCCTCTGGGGTGATTTCTCACTTTCCCTGTCTCTGTCTTTGGCAAGCATACACACCCTATGGCAAAAACAAACAAACAAACAAACAAACAAACAAACAAAAAACACTAAAGAAAAACAGTAATATTAAATTTTAAAAAGTACATATTATGAAGTTCATTAGAAATTAATTAGGTAGTAGAGTTTAGATATGGTACAATGACAGACAGGAGCCTTCTGAAGGCTTCTGAACATGTGAAAGTGACATGTTTAGTATAGCAATAAAGTGTAAGCGGGGATCACTCAGTTGGTAACATTTGTTGAATGGGAAAGAAGTGCTGGGTACCAGGGATGCAAAGATGAATGACATATATTTGCTACGCTTTAAAAGCCCCCACGTAAGTGGGACAACTTTTGCTACCCTTTATAAGCTTCCATCTTAGGGGAAGAACTAGGCAGGTGGACAAATACTAGTACAGATACGCAGGTATGGTGCATAGGGAAGGAATGATGGTCTCTGGTGGAGTCTAGGATTGTGAGCACTTTAGTCATGACAGGAAGTCGTTAGGGTTCTGAATTCTCTGTCTTCCAACTGACCACTAGCTGCCTACTATCATCTGAGGAGTCTCAATCATATAAGTACAGAGGTCATTCCAGGAAAATACTCACTTTATTACCAGATAGGACATTGATCTCAATATATATTGTTTTCCATTGTGAACCATTCGTAAGCCTCAAGTCTTGGTTAACTTTTCAGCATAATTCCTAGACTAGAGGCAGCTCAATGGTATCCTTACATGGTCTTTTCCATTTAGGCTTATACAGTAATTTTGGCATTTTTGGTCTTACACTATGACAGTGACAAGAGACTTGGCATTATGATCTTAGAGAAAAGAGAGCCCTTTCCCTCAGTGGCTGAAGGAGAAAAGCCTGAACAGTCTACCTTATATATCCTTCTTCTGGGCTCCCATATTGGAGTTTAAAGTCTTTGAAAAGATTTATTTCCTCTTAAGGAGGAAGTAAACCTGGGGTTGTATGAACATATTAACTATGCAGAAAGAAAGAAAAACAATATAATGACACATCTTTGATGTCCCTAAGAAAAACAATATAATGACACATGTTTGATGTCCCTAAGTTTTAGGATGGTTTGCTATGCAATAATAAGTTACTAGGAACATATAATTGGCAATGACAATGCAATTCTTTAAAAAATTATTAATGATAGTATAGATTTCTTCTCAGAACTCCTTTATCTAAAACTTCTTACACAATGTACTGCTCCTAAAACTTAATTCCTAAGATCATTTTATAAAATAAAGTACAGGACTTTCTGTAATTATTCTTCCCTTAAAACATGCTAACTCTGAGATTACTTCCATAGGTGATGGGAAAAAAGATCATTACTTAGATAATAGGCAAATAAAAAAAAAGGTGAAGTTGAAGGATCACCTCCCATATCTAGGTGAACTCTAAATCCTGCAGTGGGTGCAAAAGGAATGTAAGGGTATAATTCACAGCCTAGAGGTCGTGACTTTTCCTTATCAGTTGCTGAGGCAATGGAGAGGAATTAAGTGTTCACTCTACTAGAAATAGTAATGATGAAAAGCACATGATTACATGACTCTAATCTCTTCCCACCAAAGTCTCCATACAACCTATCGATGGTATCGTTACGAAATAGAGCAATGTATGAGGAAAGCCTATGTAAATGAGTGACAAAGCATAAATAGTGTATACTGTTGACATGTAAGGCAGGTTCTACTCACTGCGCGTGTGCTGTCATTTAGGGAATGCCAATGAACAACCTATTCTTAGAGTACATATGTTCTGAGAGGTAGAGTTGGACACACATAATAAGTAAAATACAATGTAATGTCAGACAGTGATAAAGACTAGAAAGGAAAAACACTGGAGTAAGGGGTAAGAAGGTCACAAGAGTGCTATATTAGATAGGATGATGGTCAAGGAAGTCTTCCTTTAGCCATTAAACAGGAAATGGTTGCAGGAAACCAGATGAACAGAAAGGACTTTCTTTTATAGTAGTACAATGCTTTTACAGACTAATTGAGTTTTAGTTGGGCACATTTACACCCAACTAAAGATTACACTGTCCACCTTTTT